TGGCAATCCAGTGCCCAGCGTGATGGCGGGTGGCCCACAGGTGAGACAGGAGGGGAGGCTCTCTGGGGACATTTCTCCAGGAAAATGTTCCTTTTCCTTGTTCTGGCTTTTTTAAAAAAAACCCAAATACTGAAGCTGAGCAGGTGCAATGGTGCCCAGACCCTATGTTTGGTTTGTGGGAGCATGGACCTTCTCAGCCCTGCACTGGGCTTTCCTGCCACAGTGGGCAGAGGGTCCCTGGGAGGTGACAAGGACAGGCTCAAAGCAGCCTTATTCCTGCCCATCCCTGTTGCTGCGTGCCAGCTTGCAGCCCAGCTGCCTGTGAGCTTCTCTGGTTTCGTGCTCATCTGGTCTCTCTCTGTGTCACGGGGAGCACAGGTCCTGTCCAGTGGGCGCGTGCTGTCCCTGCCCACCGCTCGCCTCCAGGACTCGGGGACATACACATGCGTAGCCAGCAGTGCCGTGGGGGAGGACAGGCATGGGGCTGCCCTCGAGGTGCGGTGTAAGTACCCCTGTGCATCTCCAGCCCATCCCACCAGCCTGGCTGTGTGGTTGGAGGTGATGGTCAGGACTATGGAGCTGCTCTGCTGTCCCCTTGCAAGCGCAGAGGGCTGTGGGGGACCAGCCCTGGGGAGCGTACCAAGGGGGGTGGCTCTGGGAAGGTGTTGCCTTGTTAATCTGTTTTCCAGTGCCCCCAACCACCCAGGGTGAGGAAGAGAATATCTCTGTGATCATCAACCAGCCAGTGACCTTGGAGTGCCTGGCTCCTGGGGTCCCCCCTTGGGGGTCTCCCTGGCTGAAGGATGGGAACCTGCTTGCACCAAAGCTGGGCGTGCAGCTGTCTGCAGAGGGGACCGTGCTCCAGGTGACATTTCAGAGTATTGCAGAGGATGGGAGGGGAAATAGAGCCATGGAGACCCCCATCTCCCCCTCCCCACCCTTGGGAAAGGTCCAACATCTCGGTGTCTCTGCTTGCTCCGGCAGATCAGGCGAGTCACCGTGCAGGATGCGGGCAGGTACACGTGCCGGGTGCCCGGCCACCCAGAGAAACACTACAACCTCGAGGTGTGGGGTAAGGGCTGCTGCGGCTGAAATAGCCCCTCAGGGCAGATACAGCACACGGGTATATATCTATATGCACACGCACACATATAGCATGTTACAGACCATTTGTTTACCTGTGAGATGTGTACCTGGGGTCCTTGACTGGCTTGGAAAACTCAGCCCAAAGCATTAAATTTCTGCAAAATGATGGAGCTGGAGGTGGTGTGGAAACCACACCTGAAGGGGTGGCAGGGGGGAAAAAGCCAACGTTTGCACGAGTCTTGGGAGGAGATTTCAGTGGTGATGCAGAAGAGATGTCTTTCCAAAATTTGGGCAGGAGAGTGAAGGGATTTCCTTGCTATTGCCAGGGCTTCTCTGTCCTTTCTTTGCACTTAGTGGGTGCGGTGGTCACTGCAGGTGTTGTCCCTCTCCTCTCCTCCTGCCCGAGTCAGGAGGATGCCAGTGGTGGTTCCTGGGCTGCTGCCAGGATGGGCACCGTCTGCTTTTGCTCACTCGATTTGAGCATCCTCACAGCCTCCTGGTCCGTTCAGCAGCTCTGAGGGCTGAGCCAGGGTCTGGCTTTTCTCCGGGATGCTCTAGGCCAGTTGGTGGAAGTCCTGCAGGCAGATGGCCAGGGAGTGGAGAAAATCCAGTTCTCCTGATCCGGGTTTGTTCCTGCAATCCCTTCCCAGGGAAATGTTTGCACGTCTGGTGTCCTGGCTCGGGTGGATTGTTTGGGTTCTGCTGTTTTTGTTTTTCAGGGGTTTCTGGGTGTTGGGGTTTTTCTTCTACAAACTGATATCCCTCATGGAAAAAAAAAGAAAGATTTACCATTTTCCAGCCAGCTGTATTTATGAGCAACTGAGAACAGCATCTGATAATGGAAAGAGTTAGGTAACCTTCCCAGTGAGCAGTGCTAACTAAAACCACTGTGTCTGGCCAACCTGGCCTTGGCCTGCCTGCGTGGCTGGCGTGGGATGCTTGGTCATCCTCTGCTGTAGGCCACGTGCAATTAAAAGCATCACTTGCTGGAGAGTCAAGATTATTATTTCCATATGGAGCCAGTGCAACAAAATCTTGATGGTTCTTTGTGTGAAGCTTAGTGGAGCTGCAGGTGTAACAAGCAGGATGGAGTTCCATCAGCAAGCTGCTCCTCTCCTCTTGTTCCCTGCAGTGCCTCCATCCTTCTCCTCGACAGAGCCCACCACCGTGTCCGTGCTGGAGGGACAGTCCGTCAGGCTGGCCTGCGAGTGCCACGGGATGCCCTTGCCCACCCTGAGCTGGTGGAAGGATGGTAGGGTCCTGCTTCTCAGCCTCATCCCTCCCTATGCATGTGTTGACTCATCAGACAGATGTTGGTCTTCTTGGAGCAAGGAGTGCTTTGTGCTGAGCAGTATCCAGCTTCTGGGTGGGGAAATGGTCCTGCTGGGAACCTCAGAGAAGGCTGCTGTCCCCTTTCCTGGACAGGTGAGCCCCTCTCTGGCCAGCCCGGGAGCCCAAAGCTGGTGTCCACAGGAGGGAGCATGCTGTACATCGAGAAGGTACAGCTGGTGG